TTGGAAATACCATAGTTGTCATAACTAGACATCTACAAGACGGGATAAAATTCAAGTTAGTTTATTGAGTCCTTAATAAAACACCCAAATGAGATATCAAGGCTAGGATCTAACACAACATTCTACAAATCGGAAGATGTATTCCGTAATCCAGCTGCATAATATTTGAAGGTAGGTAAATGACGATTTACCAATTTCCACCATGAAAAACGAAAATTGAAAATTAGGTTTTAAATGAATTGAAATTCCTAGATCTTTTGAGATTCATTGAACTTTTCAATGGCATGTTTAATCTCAATTATGCTCTTCAAGTTTGTGACTGGGATGCTGAGGATCACAAACATGGTGTGGATAACCATGCAAATTAGCTTGGTACTCTCAAAGATGTCCATCACCTAATCAATGTGACGGTTAACCACACACACTCTATTGATCTATGATAGTCTACGAGCTACCCATTGACATCCTTCATTGGTCTCATATTAGTGTGCTGGTTAACCACACACGCTCCACTAACGACCAATAAGGTGTAATATGAAATTTCATGGATTAACACCAATTCCACAATTTTCCTAAAGTAACTAAGATTTGGGAATTTTGTAAAAGTGTTTAGTTACTTTGTATTTCATTATACTTATAATGGAAGGTTGTGTCGTATCCTACCCGTTCGGCTAACGACCCTCCACTAGTCAAGAATGTGGTGGGTAAGAGTGGATACCTAATGGCGGTCATTTTACAGGTTGCTTCCTTAAACACCCCTTATAGAATAGCTTCATGAATGAGGCCTACTAACGGTAAGACTGACTCTTTACTCATACATATATAATATTAGACTTTTACTTTTATATAGTATAAGGATGTATTTTGCACTTTTAAAATACTATGTGGTCTAATTTAATAAAATTACACATTTAATTTAATTAAATATAAACCATATCATTATGGATTCATTGACTATCTTTTAATTATACACTTAATTAATTTAATAAAACCATAAGAATGTAATTTGAACTTTTCAAATTACTAGGCTTTTAAAATTTAATATTTCAAAATTAAAACCTTTTAATTAAATTTTAAATTCCAAAACTTGAGGACAAGTTTTGAAATCTTTCAAAACATTAGGGTTTAACTAATTAAATTTCAAAAATTAAAACTTTTAAGTTCAAATTTAAACTATAAAACCTAAAGGGTGTAATTTGAAACTTTTCAAAATTACCAGGTCAAATAAGTGACTCATAATAATCTTATATTATCCATATTTAACCAAATCCATTAATTTTGATAAGGATAATCATTCCAAACATAAAAAAATCGATTTTAGGCAAGAAAAATGAGTTTTGGTACTTATTGTTGGTGATTTTATATCACTAATGTTATTTAAGTGTAATGAGGTTAATTTGTTGATCAATGTCACTTTGACAGTTCTTGAACAAATCGGTATGGTGTGGAGTGCACATTTGTTTAATTTTGTCTTTGTTAAGAGTATACTGCTATTTAGGCGCGAAGCCCCTAAACGGATGGGGGTCCGGGGGCAGCGCCCCTAGGAGCGGTGTCCAAGTCGCAGCAGCCCCTGGCTAGGGTCGATATTTTAGACGCAAATTTAAGTTAGTTTATTACTATACTAAAAATGCATCAGAAATCCGGATTTTTGGTAAATGTACCCAGTTTTGTGATCCATATTCTAGACCCGAATTTAAGTTAGTTTATTACGTTTTGACAGTTTTAGGACATAAAAATGTCATGTGGCAGTTTAAAGACTAGAAGTTTTTCTGGTTATATGATCATATCCGAAATTTGTTGTTGGTACTCTTTTTCTTCATAACATCTTGAACATCTCTCTTCTGTTTTCTCAATTCTGAGTCTTATCTGATTAAAGATTAGGAGTACCACCCAAATACTTTAATCTGAAAGTGAAAACCACAATTCTTATAATTTCCAAACCTTTTCTATACCCAAATTCTTACAATTATCCTTATCGAGAATCGCTCAAAAAATCGAAAATCTCGGCAACAGCACCATGGACTTGCCGAGTCCAATGATGGACTCACTGAGTTCATGCTACTCGCCGTGTCCACTGATGGACTCACTGAGTCGGCTGCGCGGACAACAAAAATTTGACTTTTTGATCCGTTGGCAGTTCACTTTTGCATTTATTCAACTAGAAAAACGGCCTAAGCTCTGATACCACTGATGGATTATGAGCATAACATTATTTCGATGGTGTTCATGCAACCCTAATTGCTTTCATCTAGATTTTTCTAATTTAAACATACAACACTGAATACCAAAGCAATAAACCCTAATTTACTAGCATACAAATTTGAAAATCACATATGAATAGGGTTAGGAATATTACCTTGATTGTTATGTAGCAATAACAATCACAAACCTTCTTGATCTTGACTTCTGAAAGCCTAGTGCCCCAAGTGTTGCACCTCTAATGGGGTCACAAAACCATAAGCAACAAGAATGAACAAGAGAGAGAGAGAGAGAGGAGAGGAGAGGCACCAAAAACATCCAAGATACTCTTAGGAATGCTTAGCCACGTTTTTTGGGAGCCTTAGGGGTCCTTATATAGTTGAGGCTATTAGGGTTTTCAACTTGGAAACCCTAATCCAATTGCTTAGTCCTTAAGCATCCCAAAGATCTTTCCAGAAGGCCCCTTGGATGATTTTTATATTGACTCCCATATAGAATTCGTCCATAGCTTCCTTATGGATCTTAAGCCCAACTCTTTAACTATCTTATAATTACAGTATCAGTCCTCTTAATTTAATTAATCTCTTTTGACCCCAAAATCAATTCTAAATTAATTCTTGATCAATATTAATTAAACAATATGATTTCTCTTTTAATATTTTATTCACATAATATATTAATAAATCATAATTAATCCTCTTTCTCCTTAATTCATCCTACCAGTTTCTATAGTGAAAGCAACCCCAAAGGACCATGCTCATAATCGGGTCAAGTACATACCAAAATAGTTATGGGCTTAGACACCTAATCCAACAATAAGAAACATACTGTCAGGCATACCAGGGTGCCCGACCTACCCCTGCTGAGCATATCGGGGTGCTCAACCTACCCCTTATCAGACATATCAGGGTATCTGACCTACCCCTTCCGTTTTGTCTCAACTGGTTTCGGGGAGTATTTCACTTCTGACTACTACATGATAACATAACATAATCGTACTGTCAGGCATACCGGGGTGCCCGACCTACCCCTTTGGTCCTTTGACCGATTACGGAGACTATTCCCCCTACTACCACCATCACATAATATTATACCATACTAGCATATAAAACATAACATATAGTGGCAAAGCTAGATAATTATCACGAAGACAATCATTTAACAATAACTCCTACTAGTGGGCCGGTATTGTGGCCATAGACCCACCACTACTGGAAGGTAACTCACCTCAATGTCGCGAAGTGTCTAGACTGTCCTCGATGTTGGGATCAACTTCTCAAACTCCTACACATAATAACCTTCCTTAATTACCAATACATACTCCTATCCCTAATCAAGGGTTAACTCAAGTTAAAGGTTAAGGTCAACATTATGGTCAAAGTCAACTTCTGGTTGACTCAACTCACCAAGTTGGTCCACCAACTCGTTGAGTCCCATAACTCAACGAATCTCAACTTCGTGATCTGACTCGTTGAGTTTCCCTCTAACTTGTTGAGTTTCTCCTTATGACAGAATTGGGACTTTCCATTTGAACTCGTCGAGTCCTTCCTTGGACTCGCCGAGTTCATTTTCATATCAATCAGGACATTTCCTTGAACTCGCCGAGTTCATCCTAGAACTCGTCGAGTCCTTTGAACTTCAAGTCCATATTCACGTTCATCTTGTTGAGTCCCCCTTTCTAGACTCAACCAGATTCCTCGAAAACAGAAAAGGTTGGGGAACCAATACCCAACTCGCCAAGTCCGAAAAACAACTCGGTGAGTCCCCCAAAGTCCATATCTAAACAGTCGATTTTAGTTAGACTTAATGCATCCAAAGTGTAGATTTTACCTCCTTGGGTCGATATAGCACGTAAATTCATGAACTTTACGTCCATGCATGGGTCTTCAAGCTCAAAAGACCCAAAAATGGAGTCTACAAAGTGAATGGGGCTCCCATGGCCATAAAGTTGGCACATTTATGCCATGCGGACCCTTCAAGGTTCAAGATCTAAAGTTGGCACCTTCATTTACAACAACCCTATCGTCTACCTATGTATCCACACCGACATTCACATCAACAACGTCTACCCCGCTACTGTTTGGTACTCTATCAACCCCTTCATCTACACCAACTCCATCAACAACCCCTTCATCAACACAAGCTAGATCATCTACCCCTTTATCCACACCAGCTCCATCATCAACCCCTTCATCAATACCACTTCCATCATACATCCCTTCATTTGGAGCAAACCCACAAACACCGCTTGATGAACAAAACGAAACACGAGTTGATGGATGCTTACGTATTACAGTTCAGGCAAAGGAGTAAGTTAAATCTGTAACTGATTTTCATATATTTTGTTCAAGTTTGCTTAATTTCATAATTTTTATCAAAGTTAAACATTACAACCATATTATATTGTTTATTTTGTCCTGTATGTTATCACTTTCATGTAAATGTTCCTACATAATTATAAAAACATTCCTAGATAAAGTGGACCCAAAAGGAAATAAGTGGGGAACTTTAAGCGAAGAGACAAAACAATTTTATTAGGAAGAGTTTTAGGTAAATGGTTTATTATTTATGCTTTATTCCGTTATTATACACATCATTCATTTATGATAACTCAAATGTTATTATGCATTGTAGAAAAAATGCTATTGGGATGTTGTAGTTGATAACTCAATCAAGGCTCATTGGGAACATAAGGCCAAAGAAATGTATCGGCAGTATATCTATGATATGAGCACACGAAATCCAACCCATGAAAAACCATCTCACATAGAACAACAAGTGTGGAATACTTGGAATGCAATATGGAATTCAAAGGAGTTCAAGAAAAAATCAGAGCAAAAAAAAAAAAAAGGCGTAAAGGTGTAGTGGGTGGAAAAGCCCCACCTACTCATAATGGAGGATTTGCTTCTCATAAGCAAATTGATGTTGATATGGTAAGTGTTTTTTACTGGGTCATATCATTATGATAACATCATATTTTCAATTGATCTAATGGAGGTGTGTCTTGAGTGTTATAGCGTCACACTTATTTTTTATATATGATTACTAGTTGATATGTATTATAGCATCCCACTTTATTTTTATATAACAACTTTCTTGGTTTATTATTGGTTAGGAAAGTATTATAGTTTGCTATGCTAATATATTTCATTCGATACATCTTCTGGTGAGATTTTATATATTTGTGATATTAATGTTAGGAGGAATACACGGGAAAAGCTTCATAAGTCTATGATGTATTCATGTTTACTCATACTAAGGAACATGATAGAAAGACATTCCTAGATGACAAAGAGAAAAAAGTTCATGTAAGTTTATTTAAGTAATTATATAATATTAAATTAAAGATGTTGTATAAATTGTATATTAATACCATGATAACATTGTAGGATTTTATTGAGTCTAGACGCGCGGATTTGGAACTATTAGGAGAGGAAATTGATGAAAATGAGTTGTTTTATACAGTTATTGGAGGACATGACCGTAAAAGAAAATTTTATGGGCTTGACTCATATGGAAGATCCATTTTTCCTATAGATTCTTCTAAAACATGCACTTCACCGCATACAAATTCTGAAAAACATCATCTCGAGACCAAGATCCAAAAGCTAGAGGAAACTATAGTGCAACAAATAATTGGCTTGGATGAAGTGAGAAACACGATCAATGATATGATAAACGTGAATAACTAGTGAAATTTTCTTTATTTGTTCGTTTATCACTTGTAGCTACATTTTAGTTTTTAAATAATTTGTCTCACGTTTTGGACAAAGTATGAAAACTTTGGAAGATACCATGTTTTTATTAAGAACTCATGTAACTTTGTTTTATTTTATTTTGCATTTCCATAATGTTTGTTGTGAGAAAAATTAGCTTGGAGATGATTTTGAAGTAAGTTTTGTGTGTATTTTGCCATGGAATTGATCTTGTCACCATTTTTCATTATGGAACTACTCCGTAGTTATTTTTATATGCATTTATCTACGAAATTATTTTATAGTTAAATTGCTATGGATATTCTACGAAAGTTATTCCGTCATGTTTTTTTTTCTATGGAAGTAGACTGTAGTGAATTTTCTACGGAAATTTTTCGTCATGGAAATTGCTACAGAATTTCTCCGTCATGGAATTCACTACAAAATTTTTGTTACGAAATTAGTTTGTAGTGAGTTTGCTACGAAATAGTTGCTATGAAATTAGTTCATCGTGATTTTGCTATGGAACATTTGCTACGAAATTAGTTTGTAGTAATGTGCTACGGATTTGCTATGGGATGGTCCGTAATTAATTTGATATGGAATCGTTACGGAAAATTTTATAGGTACTTCAATACGGATTAACTACGGAGATCGTATGTAGCTATTTTGCTATGAAAGAAGGTTGTTGCAGATTCTATAGCAAAGGTGCTATAGATTATGTAACGACCATTTAGCTACAAAGAATTTTACTATGGAATGGTGTCATAGCAAATTTCATAACTAATCACGTTTACCTACGGAATTCTATGCTTTAGCTACGAAACATTTCCGTAGTTAAATCGCCTTTTTCTTGTAGTGACTCTTCAATACACTCTAAACCCGATAGTGACTATAAATGCCCTAAAAATAGCGAGATTCAAGCCCTAAAGAAGGTCGAACAAATAGGAAGTCAAGGATGAAGCTTTTTACCTCAAACAAAGCTGGAAAGCAACCAAGACTCTGGATCTACTGTCTACTTCTTGAACCTCCAAGCCTTTCCTTACTTCACCAAGCTTCAAATCACAAAAATGGCACCAAAATAGCTCAAGAACACTCACAAATGATTAGGGTTTCGAGAATGGGGTTTGAGGGTGATGGAGGCTGGAGTGGAGGCCATTTAAGGTGTTTAAATAGGGTGCAAACCCTCAAATTTAGGGTTTCATCTAGACAAGTCTACTCGACGAGTCGGGGGTTTTGACTCGGTGAGTAGAGTCTTTCCACCCGTGTTCAAAATTTCCATCTACCTGACGAGTCAGTCCACCAACTCGTCGAGTCTAAGCGTAAACATGCAAAACTTAAATTAAAATACTTACCCCCCCAAAATACCAATGCCATACAATCATAACCATATCATATAATCAAACAACATGCATAATGAGCCTTCAGCCTGACTAGACCGCATAGTAGGCCTTCAGTCTATCTGGACCGCTCTTCGAGCCTTCGGGATGTCTGGACCGCCTTGTAGGGCCTACAACCTATTCAGACCGTTTTTCGGGCCTTCGGCCTGGACCACCTCGCAAGGTCCTCAGTCAATCCGAACCGCCCTGGGTATGTTGGCCTTCAGCACAAAGAAGGACCGTCTCAACCCAACCCCCCAATCAAACAAGCATGTGCTCATAAATATCATACACTAGCATATATAACAGGCAAACCGATCTAACAGATCACTAATCATAGCAACATCCTATAACCAGGATATAGACCTAACCGGTTACTAACATAGCATCATCCTATATACCAGGATACCGACCTAACCAGGTCACTAACCATCTCACCATCCTAACTACCAGGATGTAAATCAATAAGCATATCATGCAATAACCCGGATACAAATCCGAAAAGGGCAGGCATTGGTGTCGTAGACCCGGTTAGTATAGTGAGGAGAACTCACCTGGCACTGCTAAAGTCCTGCGGATGAAACTCCAGCGGCTGGTTGACCGATTCCCAAACTGTCAACATCAAACAATAACCAATTAATAATTGGGTTCCAAGCCCAAGGTCCAACTCACACTCCAAAGGCCCAATAGTCAACCAATGGACCAAATCCCAACATATGGCCCAATTTTCTAAATTGGGCCCAAACCTCTTCATGGTCTTATCTTAATTCCCAACCATTTAGTCCGGTTCAAACATTTGGCATTTCAATTGGTCCAACCTCTCATAATCCTCAAGCCCCAGTTATGGCCCATCTATGACCCAAAATTTCAAACTGGGCCCAAACCCTCACATGGGCCTTACCATATAGCCTATCTAAATATTTTAGTCCGTTTACTTCTTCTTGGATAGCCTATAAGTAGCCCAATCACCAAAGCCCAATAGAAAGGCCTAACTCAAGGCCCAAGTGAAATTAGGGTTTTCACATGAAATGTCGATTAGGGTTAAGTGTTCCTACTTAACCCATTAAGGACATAATCCACTAAGTCCCATATTGCCTTAGGTTAATTTCAAATGATTATTAATTAACATTTTCAGTCAAATAAATAATCTAGTGCGGGTCCCGATCAATCCCCAAAATTAGGGTTTCATGACATTAGGATTTTCCAAACCCTAATTAGGGTTTCCAACCCAAATAATAGCCTATTAGTCGAATGGTTAGGATTTTAGGTCAATTAGGGCTTCGTTGGGCCCATTAGGGTTAAACAATTCGGGCACCACCCACTACACCTCGGGTAGTGGTGGTCAACGGCGACTCACATCGGTGGCCACCACCTCGTGGTGGTGGTTATGATTTTTGGCTAGAAAATTTTCAAGCATCCCAAAATAACAATCACAAACACAAAGCACATAGCCACCCAAGGTGGCGTCTGGTGGTGGCTAAATAGCGGCGTAAGGTGGCAACCACCACCTCACGGCGGTGACAGGTTGATTTCTTTGATTATCCGACTGTACAATACATTTTACATCGAAATATCCAAATAAACACACACATATAAAATAACACACACAACCACCTTGTGGCCGCATGCGGCAGTCGGAGGTGCTAGCCACCACCTCGCGATGGTGGTGGTGGCCTTCTTATGATTTTCGGCCAAGAAACGCACACACAGACACACACTCTTCTGGTTGATGTTTGTGAAATAGACCCAACCACCCACCTGGTGGCGTACGACGGTAATAGTAGCATCTTCGGCAACAGCCACCATGGCCGGCTGCCATGGTGGTTCTTCATGACATCTACTCGACAGGAAGTACACACACATGCGCATACGCATCACAAACCACGGACATAAACACCCGTACTCACGTGAAACACAAAAACGACCGCCTCTCGAGGTGGCAACAATGACCGGAGAAGCCAATAAAATGGAAGAGTCGCATGGGGCCAGCAGCGGACGAGCTAGGACGTGGCACTGATGAAC